GTGGCGATGTTGCCGGCGTCAACTATTTCGAGTCGCTAAATTCAGTTTAAATTCATCTATCCTTTTATTATTTATAATTTTATCTGTGGTTTTATTGTTCTTGTTTTGATTGTAAAGTGTCCTTGAGTGTTTTGAAAGGCGCTTATAAATGTAATGTATTATTATTATTATTATTATTCAGCCAATCACAGATGCAACCTGCAGGCAGGCGTGTTGTCTGAACTAACACGGATGTAACGCCGTCGTTGACACGACGCATTTAAACGTTTGCTAAACGAGGACAATACGAGATATACTGCGGTCACGCTGAATGTCATATGACCTTTTCTCGTGACGCGATTACATTAAATGTAAAGTCAAGACAGTTTTGTGGAGATGGAGCCGGATGTGGACAGCTACACCGGAGTCGAACGGCTTTGATTACTTTGTCACATAGACACCAGGTAAAAGGCGGACAAACAAGTTCGGACAAAAAAAAGTCCTTGGGGTCTGGGGGCACCGGGACTTGTACGACACAGCCAGCTTCCAATGTGAGCCAAAAAGTTGCTGCCGTAGGCTACGTGTCATATTGTACCTGCTAAGTAAATGTGTGGACTTGTTTCCAACTCAAGATAATAATAGGCTTAGCAAAGGCCACGGCTACCTGAACGACTGGTATTTTGTATTTTTTTTTAATTAACTTTAGAGGAGATGTTATAAACATTAATGTGTCAGCGTTTTTTTTTTTGAAGAAGTTTTTGGGTTCCAAGTACTTTTTTACAATGCATTCACGCAATGGCGTGCGTTGACTGTAAATATACAAGTTGTCTACACAAATATATTGCCCCATCTTCTGATCGAATCCGTGATCAAGTATCTTTTTTTTTTTTTTTTTTAAACCTTGTCATTGCGTAAAGCCTAATCGAGACGATCCAGATGTTCTGGATCAGAGGATGTACAGTGGATGTTCATAAAATAGTATCCTGTAAAAAGCTGTCATGCCAAATCCAACACCCTCTTTGGCTATGCACTCGTTCAGCTCTCACCGGTCGTCACCGCGGCATCCCCCGAGCCCGAAATGACCCACTCAGGCACGGCGAGTGTTACCAAGGTGACGAGGGAGAGTGTAGCGGCACTACGCCAAGCCCGAGAGTCCCCACCCCAGAAGAAGAGGCAGGTGGTCGTAGATTCGGAACTCAGGAAAAGGTCAGTACACTTCCGGGTGAACTTTGATCAATAACATTTCGCATCCGTTTTCTAACTTGTGTGCATTATTCAGTTGCATGCACCCATTTCTGCTCACATACCTTAGCAGGTAGGTGTTCACTCTCATCAGATGTCAAGGATTGCTTTATATGATCAAATCAAAGATGCTTCACTCAAATTTTATGAATTGAATCATCTTTCCTTGTTCCGGCCTCACCAAGACAAACAATACGAATTGAAAAAAAAATGTGACATGTTTTCATTCTTTTTCAAGTATTGTAATTTATAAAACCATACAGTAATTCTTTTGGAATGAATTTGAATACGACAGTCTCTTGCTTGAAGCTGCTTCAGCAGGCATGGCGATCACGCGAGACAGTAACAGTGTGGGAAGGTATTATTTGGAGAGGGGAGGAGTTTGTGTCAGACGAAATATATCTTGGGAAAAAAATGTGAACGCGTATGTAAAAATGAATACGATTTTAAGAAAACCTTTATTAGTCTCGCAATGGAGAAATTCCCAATTCACAGCAGCAAAGTTATGAAAGGAAAAAGTAGAACAACAAAATATAGGAGCTGCTGGAAAGGCAGCCACTCTTGCGGCGCCATTTTGAAGTCAACACATAGGACACTTAGAAATATGCAACAGTATTTGCCAATAGACTCGGAAGAAAAGCTGACATCGCCTTACAGGGCGAGCCGTTGTAAGCTTTTTTTTTGTTTTTCTTATGAGCTCCCGTGAAGTGGAAGTCACTTTTCAATCATATAAATACTGATGTGTTTGGTCAGCGCATTTTTTTTTTTTTAAATCTTTAGTCATAACAGTTTGTTCATCCCTCAGATTTGATGTGGACTTCACAGAGCTTCACAGCTACATGACTCGAGGCGAGGCCATCCTGCACAGTCCGGAGTTCTCTGTGTCCCGCAAAGAAGGCAGCATTCAGGACCTTTATGACAAAGTGCAGGTAAAACTGTGCCTGTACGAAAAATGTCACGTGGTCATGTGTGTTTTTATCGGAGTGCAGAAAAATGCAGTAGAACCGTACATTCATCTTAAATTCCGTTCAAAGATGAACTGCTGGTCAGAAAAGCCGTGTGGCAAGTACGAACGTGACATTTTATCAAATCAAAGTCATCACTTTGGCATCTTCATGCAAAGAAGGTTTTTTTTCGGCCTTAGCGACTGAACTGGACAGTCGTGAACTAAAAATGGTCCCCGCCGCAAATGGTGCCTAGAAATCAACATGCTTGCTCATCGGGAAACGTGTTGAGATGTTACGTATACAGCACTCTTGCTTTATACACGGAAGCATAGATTTTTATTGCGAAACCTTGCTCGCGTTGAGTGACAGACACGTTTGTATCCGAACCACCACACATGGGGCGACAGTTCAGTTGGCTCCGGCCTCGTAGCTTACCGAACTAATATTCGATAAAGACTGTGTCGAAATAGAAAATGTTCATTCTTTTTGTCTTATTCGACTTTTGTGATCAATCAAGTTTCTCTTTTCCTGCCATTCTTTGCTGCAGCTTATAGAACGGGAACGACCAGAAAAGTACCGGAAGCTTCAAGAAGCGACGCGCACAGCACAGACCCTTGTTGAGCAGGGTACCGTGTACACAGGCACACACACACACACACACACACACACACACACACACACACACACACACACACACACACACACACGTGCACACCGGCATTCACATGCATTCACACCTATTCAACGGGCAGCCTGTCTGTCCCCATGGCAACGCCTCCACCTGTCCCACCCTCTCTCCTTGTCGCCATAGAAACCCTGATAGAGAGTCTCCTCCGTCCTCTTCACTGCCCTTGTTGGGGCTGTGTAAAAACGCAGACTCATTCAACTTGGACTTTCTGTCTTTTATTGCCGCCAACCCGCTAACCTTCAGGCAACAAAACATCATCTTCCTCCAGCTATGCAGCACTTGAGCTGTGCAAGCAATTGATGTCTTTGCTTCCAAGCTCTTCAAAACATGGCATCATGGGTCCAGACAGACCAAGGCCTCTCACCGATTCAAGTTTGCCTCTTGGAGCCACACCCATCACTCTTTTGTGACAGACATGACCTGGGTTTCTATCGTGTTGCCTTTTATGAGTCGATATCATCATATGGTGCCTTTGAGACCAAAAAATGTGGATTTCTTTTTTTCCATCCAACTACATAATTATTGAAATAAGTAGCTGCTATGCTATAAGAAATGCTAATTGGCTGAGCATTTTGCTTCTAAATTGCACCGCGAGCAGACAATGTATACAAACAGCAAAGTATTTGAGCTTGCCGACAGGGTGGACGATTTTTGGCTAACGGTGGCACTTAATTAGTCTCTGGTGGACCTTCACCTAGCAACATGGCATCGGCACTTTGTTCTTTCTGTGCCGTAATTACCCTTACGTACATGAGAACATGTCAATTCCCTATATGGTGACAACAAGCATGCCATTATCATTTGGCACACAGCGGAGAAGAAACTGCCAAATTTGAATGATTGAAAAGAACAAATACCAAGTTTCAGAATCATGAAAATGTGCGCGTGTCCACAAAATATGTCGAGCAACTCTGTTATGCCAACACATCACTACATGTTTTAGCCGTGAAATGATATTTGCGTCAAGTCTACGGCAGCTGGAATGTAAACCACCGAGAGGCGCTAGCCGACAGCTAGCTTGGGCGCTAACAGCGTTGCGAGGCTCCTCTCAGCTGCTGTACGTACAGTCAACGGGTTCGTCCGCTGTGTCGCCCCTCGCTTGGCAATTTAAATAAAGACGCTAAGCTGTTTGATAAATTTCATATCAAACATCCACGGAAGATGTATTGTGGTGATGGAAGTGGCCCGAGTGATCAAAACGAAGTAACTCACAAGTGTGGCTGACAACCAACGATATGTGTTCAGAATAACAACAGCAAACGGCAATCAAAACAATACTCTACCTCTGGTGTTGTAACGCTCGCAAGCTGTCTTGCTGACCACATTCGGCTCAAGTCATTGTACTGTATTATTAACATCAAAAATGTCAACGGTGTCTGTTCTGTGTCAGCGAAAGAGCCTCCCAACTGTGTTTCTTCCCTTTTCCGATAATAACTGCCCCTTCGTTCCTGCCAGAGGGGACTCGGGCTGAGGACATCGCCCAGGCTGCCGAGCAGCTGAACCAGCGCTGGGTCGGCTTTTGTGCTCTGTTGGCAGACAGGCTGGTATGGCTGGCCTACCAGACAAAGGTACACATACACGCACTGCATACATTAGGATTTATTTCAAACCCCAGGAGTCTGAGCCAGCCAAGGCACTTACATTTACAGTTCTTTTATCAATGCCCTGCCAAACAAAGTTTTTTTTTTCAACATCACATCTTGCATCAAAACGTTCGGGAAGTAGACTCATTTTGCAATGGTCAAAGGTCAAAACGGACCCCGGTGCTAAGCTTTCTAGCACCAGCAAGCTCTCTTAACCTGCAATTGGCTGGCAACCGTTTCAGGGTGTCCCCCGCCTACTGGCCGAAGACGGCTGGGATAGGCTCGCGACCCTTGTAAGAATAAGCGGATTCGATAATGGATTCTTCTCTTGACGCGAGTGTTTCTAACCAAGCCTTTCACACTGCCTTGAATTGATGAGGTCTGGTGTGACAAGACTCAATCTGAGGCCAATGTGGGTGGAGAATGAGTTCACTGCTGCTGACATATCAAGAAAATAGTTTGTGAGCCAAGACAGATGGAGCCCAGCTTTTTCTTGTCTCATGAGAATTAAGCGAGGCTTCCTTATTTGAACTTGTGTGTGCGTGTGTGTGTGCCTGTGTACAGGTGCTGGCATTCTACAGCTTGTACGAGCAGTGTGTGCAGGCAGTGGATTTCAGTGATAACTGGCTCAAGGTTCAGCTGCCACCGTCACCAGAACCCGAGGCGCTCAGGGTGCAACTGGACCGATGCAGAGTGAGTCAGTGGTTCCCCATCCCCGCAACCATCATTGTCACACACGGTCACACTCATGCATCCATGCACATCTCATCGGTCGATCTGACAGTGTCACAGAGCTGCCTGAAAGGTGCTCGTGTAACGACACTGTTATAGGTGTTGCGTATTTTGTAAGGAAAAAAAAAACACTCTACAGTGTTGTAACATGTTTCAATAGAATGTTAAGAATGAAACAGTTTGTGCATTGCGATTAATTCCGTGTTCTGTTATATGTGACTTGACCAACACACAACCCAATACTTTCACAACTACTAAATGCCTCAGTAAACTGCCGTAATAGTTCCCATTCTTTGCAGAGGATAAAGAATATATGGCTTTAAGTATTGTTATATTGTCGATGTGTTGATTTAAAACACCGCAACTGTTGATGCTTTTAACGTTTTGCGTCATATGTTAGCATTCCGCTAGCGGACAGCAAATAAAAAATATTTAATTTTCTGAACTGGGAGTGGCATGAGATAACTTGAAGCCTTTCTGCTGCTTTTGGTGAAGGGACCGGAGTTCACAGCCACCATACAATGCTCCTATTTTGCAAGAGCACAGCCACATTCCCATTGATGAGAGGGCGTGCACACATCATCTCAATTGTTTGTTTTTACTTTACCTTTCAAAAATATTTCACAACACACAATATTGACTGTGAGAATGACGTGCGCGACTGTGCCACTCCCTTATTTTCATTTGGCTTTTTCTTACTTGTCATATTTGAATTTCTTTTTCATTTCCTCCCCGTCCCATGCGTCAATGTGTCTCAGTACTTTTCTGTGAGTATGCCTGTTTCTTATTTTAATAAAGCGCACCTTCTGTGCCTCAGTTGCCATTGAATGGTTAGTTGTCATTTCCTCCCCCATTCTGTGATCTTTTCATGTTTAATTTTGTTTGTATGCACTCCATACAACAGCTCTGCTTTTCTTTCTTTCCTTCTTTCTTCCTTTCCACCTTGATTGTCTGTCTGTCTTTGTTTTTCTTTCTTTCTTTCTTTGCTTCCTTCCTTCCTAGCTTCCTTCCTTTGCATCCTGCCTTTGTTCCTTTCATTCTATCTTTCTTTCCTTTCTGATTAGTTTCTTTTAATCTCTGTTTAGTTTAAGGTCCAGAAAACCTCTCAGAACATTTTTTTTTTTTTTGCACTCCAATTTCTTGCTTGGCTACCAGCTTATTAGCATCGGGGGCCTTTATTTAAACATTTCCACGAAAATGGATTTAACATAAAGCCAACTGAGTGGAACTCAGGAATCGAAAAGCCAATATACTTGCCGAGTAGCTAACCGTTGTCTCTCTATCACGCAGGAGGAAGTGGCCCGTCTGGCCTCTCTACAACCACAAGTGGAGCTTTTAGATAAACGTTTGAAGGAGCTGAAGAGGGAGAAAGATGGGGAGGAGGACGCGTCGGCCTTCCTGGATGCAGACATCACCGTCTTCAAAGAACACTACCGCAAGGTTCTGGAGGACCTGAGGGCGAGAGAGAGGCAGCTTCAGCTAAGTGAGACTTTTGCCCTCAACAAATATGTGTCATTCAGTTGGACCCAAGTATTGGAAACTGTTTTGGATGTGTATTTTGGCCAAAAGCAACGAAAGCTTGATAAATGGTAAATTGAATTTCATCGGAGGCGCAAATAATTTCGGGCTCAGCGTTATCTGTGGAGGAGTTTAGAAAAATCACAACGCACAATGAACATGTGAGGTTGTGTAGATCGTTTCATCATCAGAGAGAACTGCAGACTAACTGCTAGCATGCTACGTGTTTTGTTTGTGAATGGATCAGTTGTAAAAAGTTCTGACAAGAAACCGAACCTTAAACCTAGCCTAGCCTACAGTTCATCAAATAAATACCCAGTGAGGGTAGTAAAGTAGGATTTATCGTAGTTCCAAGTGGGCAGGGGACGGTATCAGCTTCATGCTAACACGGTATTGCTGTTACAGCTGTAAAATGTTTGGATGAAATGTATCAGTTCACTCACTTTTTTTTTCATACACTGTGCTCCTTTGGTGCATAATTAAATGTAAAAAGTTTAGAAACTGTTGATTTTTTTGTTTTTCCTCACACAAAATGGAACACAACAGCCAAAGTTCTAAGAACTGAAGTTAACTGATGTTAGCAATGCTAGTCAACTACTTGGCTGCATTGGCAGCGGTTCTACTTCACCAATTGTTGACATGCTAACTCTTGTAGATGTTTGCAAACGTTCATTTCAAGATAACATTATTTCAATGTTACCTTGAATTTGTCGAAGAGTGATCGGGGGCACTCTCGTAAATATAAACATCGCCTCCTTTAGCAGCATGTTTTGCATAGCTTCCCTCTACTAAGCCGCGGGATCCAAAGTTTCCGAACACTTCCCAAAACACTCACCTTTGTCGACAAAGGAAAAAGATTTTCGACATTCTGATGCTGGTAACCAGCTCATGCCGAGTTCCAATGCACGTCTCCCAGTCAGAGTTATGGCATATCGAACAGTTTTGAGCAAAGAAGCATTTGTTGGCAGCAACGTGTATGACAAATGGAAACTGCGCCATCCATCGCATGATCATGTTCTCTGGCCTGAAGCGTTCGACGAAGCACACTTGGATGTCCCATTTGGCAGAGAAAGATTACATTTCATTGAGTCAGCACGTGGCAGAAACTCATCAGCTTGAGCATATTTATTGTCTGACTGCCTTCTCCTTTTTTTTGCTCATCCAGTTTTGGAGAGCTTGCCCCCGGCACGTTATAAGGAGACGATCTCCACGCTCTTAGCGTGGTTACAGGAATGTGAAGCCAAACTGGCGATTCCATCCACAGCTGTTACCGAGTATCCTATTATGGAGCAGAGATTGAAGGACATGGAGGTACGGTGATAGATTTCATGTTTACAAATAATTCATTACAACCGCCTTTCCTTTCTCAATTTCACTGAAGGTTGAGAAGATGCGGAAGGAAAGGCAAAATGTCATGACTTTGAGACGTATAATGGGAGTGAATGTATTGTACTTTATCAGATTTACTGATGCCATGCCGATATGCCCGTTAGAATGACATGAAGACGGTATTTTGAATTTGAATTTATTTTTGAGGGCACACAACAGGATTAGAGTGAATCCTCGGCTCACCATGCATCCGTCCGTTCGTTTTCTACCACTGACACTTGTGTGCGGGGTTACCCATCCCTGAACCTTAAATCTGTCAGCTGACTTTACCCCAAATAGAAAAACAAACAACTTTCGGCAATTTAGAGTCTTCCATTAGCCGTACGTGTCTGTCTTGAGAAAACACACATCATCGGGAATTTCGGAAAAATGTTATTCCTGGAATTATTTGTACCATCATCTCAGGAAAAAAACAAAACAAAAGCCTTTGTATGAAAAGACCGATCAGCGATTTTTATAAAACATTTCCCAACCAGCCCCAATCAGCTTTTCATCTTGAAAGGGAACATACGATGGAATATTGACTTCTCCGAGCTTGAGTACAAGTAGCCGGTCTCTGGAGTGCCCGCCCACCCGTCAAGTGTGAAATGAAACAACCTAGTGAATCTCGTATGCAGCAAAATCCACGCTTGGTTAGACAATATGCATAATATGTCTGCTTTAAGCGAAAATACGTGTGAAAATCGGTGTAGCCGACTGTCTGCTCAACATGCGGCAAGCCGGCCGCCTCGCTTGTCTCACTTTGTGTGTGTTGTCTGCAATGCTGTAATTACGAGAAGCGGATGAGCAAACTCCCGGCGGAACAAAACAGTCCCTGGTAATGATCACAATATCTGCTGTCTCCACTCCACTCTTCACGTCAACAAGGTGTCAGAAATATCAAGAATATGACATGAGCTTTATTTGTACGTCGGATTGTGCAGCACTTTGCCACAATGTCGAAAAAGGGGAAAATATAAAGGATATACTATGTGCGAACGGAGCATTTTGGCAGGGCGTCTTTAAATCTATTCGCATTCACGTTCTCAAATTGTCTTTAGAGGAATGTCATTTTTACTCTGATGGACAGTAAACACGATTTGTAACGAGGACGACTTTATATGGTGTTGAGACAAAACGTTTTTCCTCTTCCATCTGGCTTCCCCAGGCACTGCAGGTGGCGCTGACTAGTCACCAGGGGCAAGTGGACTACCTGACATCTGCTGTGGAGCAGGTCTTCCAGAAAGCTCCGCCCGAAATCTGCCAGAAGTAAACGTTTCTCAGAAGAAATCTGTTTGGATTTCCAAATGCCTTTAAAACCAAACGGAAGGCAAAATACAGGATGTCAAATACAAATAAAACCGACCAATGTTTTTTTTTTTTTCTTCTTGTTAGGTATCACGCTGAGATGGACAACATCATGGCACGCTGGAGGCGCCTCGGCACCATGTTGACAGATAACAGCAAGACAATCAAAGAGCTCATGGCCAAACTCGTGCAGTTTGAGGTGAAACTGGAACACAAACACCCAATAAGCGAAATTGTGTATTTCAAGCTAGCAGTCAGGGCAAAAGCTTGACATCCATAGATGTGCTACGATGATCACTACTGATGTGCTCAAGAGTTAACTACTAAAATTGTATGTCACTCCAGGAGGGACAGTAGAATTTGATGATGTCATTCGCTGTAGCAGTCGCAGGCGGTTGTTATGTTGTGTACACTTTTTGCCTCGCTAGTAACGTGCAGTTGTTTTGCTAGTGTGCTACGATTGTTCGAGTCGAGCGCAAAATTGTCTGAAGGTCGTCAAAGACAGTCATGGGGTAACAAAATGCTATGCTAGTAAGATATAGTCATTCTACTTGTGCGATGAATAGTCTTACTCGTGAAAACAAAGAGCTTCCTATTACCTCTGCTGATGTTGAGCAAACGTTTCAATTGCTTGCCAAGCCGCTAGCTATCTCATGAGTTGATTATGGCCGCTTGGCTTTTTCCGCCTTCACATAACCAAGCCGTTTCCTTTAGAATGATGTGAAGACGTTAAAGAAGTGGATGGCAGATGTGGATGTCTTCCTGAATGAGGAATGGCCCGCTCTCGGAGACTCGGAAGCACTGGAGAAACAGCTGGAACAATGCACGGTGAGCAGCATTGCCGCCGCCCTTCGTGTGTGAGTTTGCTTAAACACTGAGCAAAATTGTTACGACTGATGGGCCAGGCCTTGGTGAACGACATCCACACCATCCAGCCAAGCGTCAACGGAATCAACGAAGTGGGCCTGCAGCTGAAGAAGGAGGCGGAGCCCCCTTTTGCCATTCACATTCAGAAGGAGCTGGATGACCTGAATGCCCAGTGGGAGAACGTTTGCAAACAGGTGCGTAAATCTTCCGGGCTTCTTTCAACTCGCTGCTTTCGTTGGTCTTGATGCGATGTTCCCATTAAAAGGCTTATGCGAAGAAGTCAGCTCTGAAAGGTGGCCTGGATAAGACCATGGCCCTCAGGAAGGAGATGCAGGAGATGCAGGAGTGGATCAACCAGGCTGAGGAAGACTACCTGGAGAGAGACTTCACTTACAAAACACCCGAAGAACTACGCAAAGCTGTGGAAGAGCTCAAAGTATGTGGGATCTTGTGTGTAATACTATGAAGTAAAACCCGTCAAAAGCAATCTCGCTTTCTGATTTGGAATATACAGTACAGTGGACTACTACATGGTGGCCTGCTGGTCGACTGGTTAGCGCGTCGGCCTCACCGTGCAGAGGCGCAGGTTTCGATTCCGGCTCCGGATTTCCTGTGTGGAGTTTGCACGGATAATCCATGAATTGCATTTTATTAAAAATATTCGTTCTGTGTCTTTAATGCATTTTATCACCTTTACATTATTCTGCGAGCCAGATCGAACCTTCACGGGGGCCGGTTCCGGCCCGCGGGCCGTATGTTTGACATCCATATTCTTTACCGTGGTAAGAAAAAATGTCAAGAAAATACTGTCGGTCCACATTTGGGGTAAAGTTTTTGAGAAGTTGCAATGGTGAAAATCTGCTGCATAAAGTCTCTCGTGTTTATCTATGATGTCATGCAGTTGAGCAAATGCTATACCCGACCTTTAGCGTTGATAACTCGTAGTGAGAACAACACTGAACTCCCTTGATAGATAAAAAATGCTCTGCCCTTTACCATCATCGCTTAATTGTGCGTTGAGCAGTATTTTATTTATTTTTCTCCCCACCGCCTGAAAGTCTGCCGTCTGCCCTCGGCTTATCTTGTTGTCGAGAAACCGGACGTTGGCTAGCAACAGGCTCATTAACGGCATTGTGTCGCTTTAGCCTTTAGCTTAGCGTGTAAGACGCCTCTCTTGCCACGTATCTGTCGCTTGGTGACATTGTCCAACGGTTATTCTCAGGCTCAAACACACACTTGGCCGATGACTTCAATAAGCGAGTGATGAATGGCGTCCATCCTCTGCTACTGCAGCTGCGACAATCAGCATTGACAAATATTAGTCCAACAGATAAATAGAACAAGTTTAGTTGTCTTGAGCTGGGAGTTCTCTGTGACGTCATATTTCTGCATATACAGTATGTGACGTAATGTTCAACCCCACAGCATTCTGGGATGCAACATTTGGCCCGAGGAAAGATTCAAACCTCACACCTTCCTTCTAAACTATAGCCGAGCTAACCATTATTCCACCATGCTGCCTTCTTCATGATCAATTGATATCGGCGTTCTAGAAAGCCGCCTGGTCGCCTAACCGCAGCTCAAAGCTTCGTGCCTCCCTTTACACCCTTCACCCCATCCATTTTCTTCCAGTCGCATTGTTTTACTGAACATACATCATGTAGTGTACTTGTAATGTCGATTGTTGGCAGTGTTAGAGCTGCGCCGCTCCCATAAGGCTTCCCGTTCAGCTCCCTCCTCCTTGAAGAAGGTTCGCTGGAAAGAGTTGAAAGTGAAAAATTGATTTTTTTTTTCTTTTGTAATCTGTTGACTTCTCGTTCCTTCTCCTATTTCTCCGTCTATGATCAGAGTTTTCCTCCTTTCGGGATGTGTGTGGGCGATACTGCTTCATTCCCCGCAGCACACGAGGCTTTGTCAATTGTGATGTGTTTGATGGTGCATCCTTCGCTCTTCAGTTTACGCCGTCACATCTCTTGTTCCTCTCCTCCACCGTATACATCGCATCCTTTGACCAAATGCATTGTCTTCTCCGCCAGCGAGCCCAGGAGGAAGTCCACTCCAAGGAGCTCAAGGTTAAACTCTTGACTGACAGCGTGAACAGTTTCATCGCCAAGGCGCCGCCCACTGCTCATGACGCCCTGCGTTCAGAGCTTGACGTACTGAAGGTCAACTACCAGCGCCTCTGTAGCCGCCTGGATGGAAAGTGCAAAACTCTGGAGGTCATTTTTTTTTTCTTCTTTTAACGCTTCAAAGCAAAAAGTGAGGACAGATATGGCTGTTTGTCAATCACAAGTGCCGCCTGGAAAAAAAAAAAAAAAACGCACTCTCCAGTAGGCCAAAATGCTCATCACAAACAAGACAGGTTTAATTCCAAAAAAGTACATTTGCATTAACCGCGTAACTTTCTGCGTAGTTTGAACATTCACTGCGCTTAAATGTGGGAAAATGAGGGGAAAACCGTGTTAAAATAATCCCATTCAAATGTATGGCGCATAAAAGTTAAATAAAAGTTGTACCTCATGAACGAAATGGCTTTAGATGCAAATTGTGGTAGCGGGTGAAAAAAAAAAAGCAGCATTTTGTGAAATGGAGGCAGTTATCTGTGAAGTGGAGATTACAAAGAAGACACTTTGATTGTGTCCCCATCTGACTTTTCTCGCATCATTTTTTTTTTTTTTCCGTCAGCGCATTAACAGCATCTTTCTAACTTTGGCCCACGTGTGATGCAGGAGGTTTGGGCGTGTTGGTGCGAGTTGCTGTCCTATCTGAAGCAGGAAAACGCCTTCCTGGACCAGCTGGAGCGGAAACTCGATGAAATCGACAACCTCCAAGGAGGAGCAGAGGAGCTGCGGGAGGCGCTAGATGTGAGTGTGCAGAAAATTTAAAAAAAAAAAAAAAACAGCCTCCTTTGCGTGTTACGTGGTCCACTCCTTGTCTTGAGGTCACACCGAAGCAAGGGTAAGAGTTACATACCGTGATATTGCAATAGAGGAATTATTTTGTGGGAGAAGAGTTTGTATTTTATTGCCTTCATTATGGGAGCAAAGCAAAAAAAAAAAAAAAAAAAAAAAATTAAACGGGGAAAAAAAAAAAGCGGCTGTAGTTGGATCCCAGTGGGCTTCTTGCCAAAGTGAGATACAGCTCTGGCTCACAGGCAGCAAATTATCTCGTCCCGAATGAGGACAAAACAATTGCACTCCTCTTGTCTGCGCATGTATTGTCAAGGCTACGCATGACTTATTGAAGTGAACACTTTTTTGCACTGCCGGTCTTAAAATAGCGGCGACTGCGATAGGGATTCGAGTGGCTGTTAGCCTGTCTCCCACAGCGCCATGCACGGAGGGTTTTTTTTTTTTTTTTTTTTTTTGTGTGAAATGGAGGACAGAAGCGCCTTAAAAGGACGAGGATGCACAGGGTCAGGGGACGATTATTTTATGAGTAAGGACAGAGGGACGATGACAGAAGGGTGCCCAGGTCGCGGACTGAGGTCGGAGGATGGACCGGCAAAATCGGGTCAAGTGCCCATCTCTGGCGATCCCAATGTGACACACTGGCACATCGAAGACGAGTACCCTTTGTTGTCTTGTTGTCTGTTTAAGAGGGAGGAAATTTCATCTGTGCTGTATTACAGCACAGATGAAAATAAAGTTGTACTTGACTTGACTTTAAAATAGAAATGGTTTTGCCAGACCTTGTATGTGTGCAAAGTCGGATGAGTATTCGCCCAGTTTTAGATCCAGTGCATGAGAAACACTGCATCCCCACGGCAACGGCGTGCGATGAAATTAAATGCTTCACTAACTTTTTGTCTTAAACATCTTTCGACGAAACACTCAATGTTTGAAGACGATTGGATACATTCTGTGCGAGGACTTTATTCAAATCTGACCAACATGAAAGACCACAAATAGCCCTAAATTCAAAAGTTAATCCAAATTAAAATCAAAATTAGAATTTCCGATCTCACGGTGGCATTTCCACAGGGCAGGTGGACCGAATAAAGTAAAGTGATACACATATTTGCCCTAATGGTGTGTTGTTGATGTGTGTGCACGTCTATGCACTTTGACAGGGAATCGAGGTTCTCCTGCAACACCCCGAGGACAACAGAAACCAGATTCGGGAACTGGCCCAAACTCTGATGGACGGCGGTGTTTTGGACGAGCTCATTATGCAAAAACTGGATGCCTTCAACGCACGATGGGACGCGCTCATGGCGAGGGTGAGACATGATGACCGTGCGTTGCAATCGCGTATTCATGACACGGTTCCTTAGGGATGTCCAACTTGATAGCCCACATCACAGTTCAAGGGCGGTTGCTCTCAATGGGGCTGGTTAGAATCTGTAAACACAAAATGCATGTCATGTTCTGCCTTGAGATACAAGATTCATTTGCTTTGTGACCACACTTGCAACTCAAAAGCACCTCAAATCATCGTTCCCCATGGAAATGAATGGAGATGCTGCTAATCCGTTCCCCCCAAAAAAACTCAACAAAAACGTTTGCACTGGTTCTTAGAAAGAATTGATGTCATTAAATTAACTTGGGCTGAGAAGGAAAGTTGTCTGAGTCAGATGAATCGACTCCAAAGAAACATCACAGGCTCCATGTTGTGCAATCCACACAGAAGTTTCCAGTCTACAGAGAGCCCCATTGCACGGGCATTAAACATCTTAAAACTTCTTTAAAGAAATAATTCTATGTCAAACCTGCTGCTGGATGAGAGGGCATTTGAGTTCATCATCATCATGCAGCACTCTTGCAGCAATCTCAAATGCACATTAGATGCCGTAATCGAATAAAACGCACAAAAAGCACTCATCTTAACGTGTAAACACAAATGTTTTTCATGACATTTAACAGGAAGCATTTTTCTCGAGAGGAAAGTGCAACTTCAGTCGTGTCAACTTTTCAGGAAAATTAGGATGTGGAAAAGTGGAACAGTCACCGTTTGGTCAGAACGATGATGCTATAAAAACCAGTAATGGCATTTGCGATTGCTTTTGGCCCCATCTGAAGAGCCCGGGAGTGTGTACTGCGCCGGTATACAAATGGCTAGTCATGGCATCTGCTTACATTGCCTCGTTGCTCACTTTGTTACCTCCTCTTTTCTCTTCTTGGGTCTTTTTTTCGGCCATTGCCACAGGCAACATTGCTTCGTCATCGGGTGGCAGATTAGTCATACTTTTCAAGACACTCACACGCATTTACCCGAAGACACTCAGACCCCCGCCGGGTTGATCTCCCCCTCACAATAGCACCGGATTAATGTTCTCCGTGCAGCCTGATAAGCTTCCCTTTGTTTGTTAACCCGTTTGAGACTGTTAGTGTGTGCGTGCGTGTGCGTGTGTGTGCGCGTGGGTGTGCGCGCGCACAGCTTTTGTCACATTCTTGTATTTCTGACATTGAATGTGTGTATTGTCTAGGGAGTGCGCGTGTCAACATCCTCATTTGAAATGAAAGCCGGCAGCTCCGAGTCGCTTTCGTCTCTCAGCAATGAATGCGGCCCTCTCGTTTAATTAGGAGTGAAATATTTCAATGTTGAGTCTTGAAATGACAACAAGGTTATCTGTGAATATGTCGTATTATCCACTTGGTTTAGACAAGAGATATTTTTGTGGTGAGAACCCTTTAAAACCGAAGTAATAATTGTGGTCTGTTTCATGTAAAATGGAACGTATCATCTTTTTGGGACTACAAATCACAATTGATTTTCGAGTTTTGCCGATCCTGCGACTTATATTCAGGTGCGGCTTGTATATATTAAAATTACAGCTTGGACTGGGCCCCCAAATCCTTGTTCCCTAATCATGTTAATGGCAGCTAACGACTTCGGGTTGGATTCAAAAGGTACGCTTTTCCTTTTTAGTTTAAAATAGCTTACCTTAACGAGAATCTCGCGTCACCAGGGTTGTACTTGGATTGAAATTTGGCCCAGCAATATTCATCGACCAAGGGGACACGGACAGCATGCGCTGAAACGTTCGTTGATGTGCGGTGTATTTTGGTGGGGGGGAATGGGTGGACCGCCCTTGATGTGTGCTATGCGCTACGCTAGTATTGCAGTAACATGCAAATATGAAGAAAAAAATTGACGTGACGCATAAATACAGAGTCTTTTGAAAGGTTGCCATTACGATGCGGACAATCATCAAACTAAAATAATTTGACCACAAGTGCGGTCATTCGAATGACTGACAGTCGTGCAGTCGAATGAAAAGCCAATGCATGATCTTTTTTTTTCACCTTTCTGATACAAGATACAAGCAGCGTAAGTGGCAAATAACATCTCCTGCCGAGGTCCAGAATAAAGGCTGACGCAGTAGGATAAGCACATAATCCCATTATAACGAGGTCCCACATTTAAAACCCATGCAGAGATAATTCAACTCTTGCATACTCTAATATGCCCCCCCCCCAACCCCAACCCCACCCAATGTCGGCTACATGTTGTTCACATTCCTGGCATGTTTGCCAAATCGAAAAAGTGCTTAATCGCCCCCGTGCAGCAAAATACGCAACGTGCGGGCTACACAACTGAGAGTATGTTTTTGGGAGCCAAAACGAAGTAGCGCGCTGCCACAGGGGATGCTTGTTATCAGTGGCAGTGTCAATCTTTCATATCTCTCAAGTTGTCGTTTCCTTTATTAGAAACTGAAACTGCTCAAATACGTGTGTGTGTGTGTGTGTGTGTGTGTGTGTGTGTGTGTGTGTGTGTGTGTGTGAGGAGGGATGTGGAGGCTAAAGGCTATACTTAGTCATGATCCTCGCGTTTGGGATTAGAATGCATCCAGCACACACATGACTTGAAACGCGTTGATGATGTAAATGGTCAGACCCTGGTAATCCCCAAAGCAAAGGCTCGGTCGGGAAGGGAAGCTGATTCTCGTCATGATGAGCGGGATCCGCGTTGAGACGCCTGCATGAGAGAGATGCCTCGGAGTCCATGCAGCGGGAGGGCGCACACCGGGCGCGGGAGCATGCTGGCGGTGGTGGGTGTTTGCTTTAGTCGTGTTTGTGTGTGTGTGTGTGTGTGTGTGTGTGTGTGTGTGTGTGTGTGTGTGTGTGTGTGTGTGTGTGCGTGCGTGCGTGTGCGTGTGTGTGTGTGTGTGTGTGTGTGTGTGTGCGTCTTTGTAGCAAACAGGACTTGGAAAAGCTTTTGCGCCTTCAGAAGTTGTCAGTCTCGTCATTCACACAATAACGTCTTTGAAGCCTGCACTGGATTGTAATAAAGAGAAGAGCATATTTGTTATCATTGAGGAGTTTTTCAGCCTGAACATGTTGTTGTGTTCGGCACTAGCCTCTGTACTGTCATCAGTGCTAGCACGTGCAGGGCATTACGCTTTACAACTGTGGGAGGAGTCAAGTAAGTGAAATTGGCACCCGTGTAAATGTTGTGGGCTGCTGATACGCTCCTTAAAAAAGGGGTTACAATGTATGCTTTGGGGTGAGATATCAGTATATATCGGAAAATAGATTTTGTTCTTAAAAAAAGGACAATAAACAGTTAATGGGATAATCGAACTTGTGTTTTTATCCAGGCGTCTCTCAGGCAGAAGGAACTGGCCAAAAGCCTCCAGTGGGCCCAGGAGAATGACAAGACGCTCGTGTCCATCCAGGAGTCTCTGGCCAACACTGACCGCCACCTGAGGGCATACTTGGCCGACAATATTGATGCTCACCAGATACCTCAGGAGGCTCAGGTACTGTCGCCATGGCGTTGCAGTTGCCATCGATTTCGTGCCCTGAGAATGCAGTGACCTGGATGAGGGAGAATTTTCAATCATGGTGAATCCATGGGTCATTTGCCTTTACTTTAGCATAAGACTGAACAATAAAAGGTAAATGTTTATGTGTAATAAATCTGATGTTGTTTATGGCAATACAGAATAGTTCATTGCTTCTCTTCGTTAAAAAAAACAAAAACAAGAGAGGATTTTGAAAAATAGTCACACATTAAATCGCAGTTGCAATGTTGAGTGGGGGGTTGGGGGGGACAATCAGAATTAGATTATTTTTCAAAATTGTGCAGTAGTCTTATTGTTGAAGAACTATTTGAAAAACAAACAAAAACATAATCACCTTAACCAACGTAAAATGAAAAAAAAAATAAAGCTTTAAGCAAACATTCCATTTTATTTTGAAGGTGCACCTTTTAATAAGCCTTATACCGAGTGCAAATTAAATTATTTGTGCTCAATACGGTAGCTCTTGCTACTCTCTACTCACTTCTCGTGGTCCAAACGGGGAGCAACATCAATCGTGAAGAATCGTCTCCATCTTAAATCTTCATGATGAAAAGCTGTCACTTTGAATGACTTTTTATGCAGAAGATCCAGTCAGACTTGAGTGGCCATGATGCATCCTTGGAGGAGATGAAGAGAAAGAATCAGGAAAAGGAACCGTCACAGAGGATGACTGGACAGATAGAGCTGACACAGGTGCCCCTTTTCAAACCAAACACATACACACGCTCACGGCCAAGTACTCATGTACTCCAACCAATTCCGTCCAAAACTAGAAAATGCTGACCGACGTGTGGACCAAGTTCCGCCTCTTCCAGAAGCCGGCCAACTTTGAAACTCGCCTGGCTGAGTGCGAACGCGTGCTCGCCGGAGTCAAAGGTCAGGTGGGGGTGCTGGACATTCGCAGTGTAGAGCAGGACGTGGTGCAGTCTCAGCTGGAGCAGTGCATGGTGCGTGTCCCGAGCACACGGTTTGGATTCGTCGACGGACAAAATGACGACGACGTCTGCTCTCTTCGGTGTCTTAGAAGTTGTACAAGGTGCTGAGCGAGGTGAAAGGCGAGGTGGAGACGGTGATCAAAACGGGCAGGCAGATCGTGCAGAGGCAACAGACCGAGCATCCCAAAGAGCTGGACGGGCGCGTGACGGCGCTCAAACTGCTGTACAACCAGCTCGGAGCGCAGGTGTTAGCACACACACACACACACACACACACACACACACACACACACACACACACACACACACGCATCACGCTAACTCGACCTGGCAGTTGCCTTACCAGCTTCACATGGATACTGAGAGATGTTCCCACCTACATGAAATTTTCTAAATTAAAAAAAATACTGAATAAATTTTTTTTTTAAAAATTGAAAATGTATTGCCACTGATACTGATGAGCATTTCATGGCCACCGGGGCCGTTCTTGCAGACACAATCGCAGGAGACTTTCATAATGTAAATTTCCCCAGTGTGGGATAAATAAAGGATATCTTAATCGGAAAGTGACCTCCTAAATTGCAGTCATTTTAGTGTTTTGGTTTTTCTCGCAGAGGGCCACAAATATGTGAGAATTTTCATGTCTTAATGCACCGTTTGTATTCAAATGTCTGTTGCGTTCATGGTTATAACCCCACGACCACCGTTAGCCTGTCGATGGTGTTTTGCATTGTGTGTTAGCACTAAGCTAGTGGATGTGGACGACTACCTGTACAGGTCATCGAAATTCGAAAACATTTCCTTCCTCAAATATTTTGCCAAAAGAGGTTCATCACTATAAAACAAAAATGGACATGATGGTGGCATACGTGATGATATTTTAACCGTAAATATTATTCAGTCTATGTTCTTTATCGTGGAAGCTAATCATCAGTAAGTGTCCCAAAAAGCCCCTGAAAAATTAAAACACAGGCAGTTTGTTTGTTTGTTTTTCATTTGGGGGCCGGGGGCCTTTAAAAAGGTTTTTTTTTTTGTTTTTTTTTTGTTTTGCTGATTAAGTCCTACTTTGTCAACAAATAATTTTGCTTTTATGCCTGATTGAAAACAATGCCAGATGGTCCCACAATAGCATGAGTCAAAATTGTCTTTTTTTTTTTTTTTTTTTTACAGATAACAGAGAGTAAATTGGAGCTAGAGAAGAGTCTGAAGCTGTCCCGGAAGCTTCGCAAGGAGCTCATTGGGCTGACAGAATGGCTTGCGGCCACTGATGCAGAACTGACAAGGCGTTCCGCTGTCGACGGTGTGCCCAGTGACCTGGAAGCTGAGGTGGCGTGGGCACAGGTACACTTGTTACAAAAACAAGATAAGGCTGCGTTCACGCCGCAGGTCGTAATGCTCAATTTGGATGCTGGCATGAAATCCGCTTTGTGTGCGGGTGCGGGTGCATGTGCGGGTGTGTGTGTGTGTGTGTGTGTAAGCGTTCACATTTCACACTAAATGCGACCGCAGTCTGTGTGGTGTGTGAACCAAATGCGTCCCAAAAGTGAGCCACATCCGCAGATGAAGAGACGACGTCACTCACAATGTCGTGTTTACGGAAGGAAAGTGGTCCAGCGAGTCGGTTCTCATCTTTTTATCATCTCATGTCAACTGAGGAGCAATGCGAAAGGAGGTGTAAATATTTTGGAAAATAAGGCGAGTCTTTTTGATCTCCAGAGACGTCTACTAAAGGCGACGCCACGTCATTGCTGCGCTTAATTAATGACCCGCCTGTGTGGCTGAATGACGACCATCACCATAAACGTCCACTTGATGATTCATGTTTCAAGGGGGATCGAATTCAAGTCAAATATAAAGTCAATACTATTACTCAAAGCAACTTTGGGACAATTCAGCCTCCAACCGAAGCACTCCCTCCCGCACGGAGCTCATTTTGGGTTATGGGTGACGTATTGGTCAGATATATGCAACCCAGACTGAGGTCACATTGCATAAAATTCTCGATGTATCCGATCTAGGAGCACATATGAAAGTAATTCAGGTCGGATTTGAAAAAGAATTGGAATTTAGCCATTCCGATTGTAATAAAAGGATCACGTGGAGGTCGCATCTGGGCAAAAAAATCCAATCTGGAAACAAATGAAATGAAACGACGCATGATGGTGCACAAGTAGGCAGCACAGCGATAACATTTAGTCACTGTATCATAAACGCTCCATTATAAATAAGTTGATTTCTGGGCTAACAATGTTCTACTGTCAAGCCATAAGGGCTGTTTTAACAAATTCGACGAAAATTTGTTTTTGTTCTTTGAAACTGCTCACTCTAGCAACAATGACTCACTTGCCAATTTTTCCATCTTACCCAATGCAGTCCATCCATGCTGAGACAGAGAAACGCCAGCCACAGCTGCAGGCCGTGGTGGATCTGGCCGAGGCCCTGAAAGCCGTTCTTCGGGTCCATGGCAGCCTAGTGGACGACAAAGTCAGCCTGCTGCACTGCAATTGGATTGCTGTCACATCCCGAGCGGAGGAATGGCTAAACCTGCTGCTGGTGGGACCGCGCTTCAAATGCTGGTTTTGTTTTGTTTTTTTTAGTTTAGCTTCTCTGTCAGATCTAAAAATGACACGTTATCCTGAAAATAGCAGCATCGTTTGCACCAAAGTCCATCACCTTGTCTTCAGGCCTACCAGCAGCAGATGAGGAAGTTAGATGGACAGATTGAGGAAGTGAACAGATGGATCGACGGAGCGAATAAAAAGATGGATGAGCTCGACGACCGGGGACCCAATGATGCTTCGATAAAGGTGGCTATATTTCTGTCCGTTATTTGTCAGCAATTATAAAAATACTAAATGGTTAAATATGATAATAAAGAAGAAGAAGGTTGAAATCATCATTCAAGCTCTTTACCCTGTTTTTATTTTTTTCTCAGGTCCTGCGTGCCGAGCTGGAGCTGACGAGGAAAAAGATGGAGGAAGTGAAAACGTTGGCACAGGAGCTGATGACAACCAGGGGGGAGGATTGCCAGGCCCAGGTGGGGCCTAAAGTGGAGCTTTTGACCCAGAGATTTGACACGATTGCACAACGCATCGCCTCCGGACTGGTGGGACACGACAACAAGCAGCAATCGTTTTTTTCTAAATCTATTTATGACAGCTTCATGACTGCTGTAAGATGCTGACAAAATCTTTCCTGACAAAAACACATTTCAGACGGCAGCATCGGCCAAAGAACTGGAGCAGTATCACCGCGAAGCTCAGATTTGGTTGAATCTCCTGGAGGAGGAAGCAAAACAAGGCGAGAACCTCAAGGAAGACGACTTCAGGGAAAACAAGGTCACTGAAATATGGAAGAGCACCGGAACCATCTTTGTGACGTTTGACCCACGAGTCCAAAGACTTGATGATTCATGTGTGTCGGCGGGTGTAGGACTGCGAGGAAGGTGCGGTGAAGGAGTTATTGTTGAGAGGAGAGAATCTGCAGAAGAGAGCCCCAGATCAGGACAAGAGAGAACAGATCAGACTGAAACAAAAGCAGCTCGGCAACAAGTACCAAACCGTCAAGGTAACGCGCACGTAACCATCAGCGGCTCATTTGAAAACTTGGCCTCATGTGCATGGTAAGAAGAGATTGAAATGTTTTGGTACCATCTCCAGATACATTTAGTTCAGGGTATCCCAAAAATCACTCTCCACTTCTTTTTTTTTTTTTTTTTCTCATTTGGTCTGTTTGTGCTGTTCTGTTCGAATGCGTAGCGCGGCAAGTATCTACTGCCATTGATAACGTTTTTCAAACTGCCCTTGAACTGCAGTCGGCCACAGAACAATTTCTTGACAGGTGACAATTTTGCAACGCTGTTTCAATCGCTGCTGGGTCAAAAGTAACGCCGATTGTGTGAAGTCGCCGACCCGGCGCCGGGTCCAAACGTGACCGAGGCGATGCCGGGGTTAGCGCATTGGAATGAGGATTTGACCCAGCGTGTTGGGTCAAAATTGTGATCAAGCAAGGGGTAAAAATGAGCCACATGGAAGAAATAAGTTGGTAAGGGTATCCCTATGGCTGGGTTGAAAAGTAATACACGTTTTACTTCCTCTTAGAAAAAGAAGAAGCACCACAGTGAGGCGCCCGCATGATATATTTCGCACAGTTTTTACACTGGCCGCCCTTGCTGACGCCAACGAGCAGGCCCTTTGCCCCGACCGGGATTTGAACCCTGATCTCGGGGTCCAAAGTCAGCCGCCAGCAACAACATCGAAGAACGTTAGAGTAAATCCACTTCAACTTCGGTACACAAAAAATAAAAATTGTGACCACTTTTAGCGCTTCAGCGCACCCAAATCCAGTCTTCAATCCAATCTGCTGGGTTGCCCCGCCCCCCAAAAAATAACCCAACATTGAGTAAAAGTAACCCAATCTGCTCAAAATCCACAGCGACCCAAGCGAGTGGGTTAGGAAAACAACATTTGCATTTTTTTTTTGTCTGATGTCAATTGGTGAGGCGTGGGCAGGGGGAATCATACTGCGAAGCTAAGTTGTCAAATGCTAATGGCCTCACATCGGTCCAAAAATAACCCCCCGAAAAGAAATAGAAAAAGCAACGTGCATGGAAGTTTTGGGACACCTTCTATAGAGGTGCCATGTATGTATGGCTTGTTTATAACAGCCCTCGAATATGGCCGCCGGTAGTGCATTGTGGGTAATTGCTAAAAGGACGGAGCCCTATATAGGCAGCTATGAATATTTTTAGGGTGACGTCAATTATTCGCCGCGGGGCTTGCTCCCTCAATGGACGCCTCGCTGTTTCCATTGTTGTATTCAGTCTACGTGAAAGCCGTGTGTGCGTGTGCAGGACCTTCGCGTGCTCAGGAACAGGAAGGCGCTCGCCATTGCCCCTCAGTGGTACCAGTACCGAAGGAAGTCACATGACCTCCTGGCCTGGCTGGACGACATCCAGCGAAGTGTCGATCAGCTGCCCGACCCTGCGGAGGGCGAGAGGGTCAAGGTGACAACGCGCGCGCGCACGCACGCACACACACGCACACACTTTCTACACATAGCACATGTTTGATTTCTTTTTCTGTCACCGTGACCTGAAGGTGCAACTTGTTGATGTCAATGCTCTCCACACACTTGCTTTATTTTGTCTCTGTGGAAGCCCCCACGTGCCCCCTCAACCCCACACTGTTCTCCACCCCACCTTCTGACGTCACATGTTTGTCTTTCGCTTTCAGATGATCACTATGACATTTCGCTAAGTGGACATCATCCTTGCCTCTCAGTGCCATCACTGAAATTCCTCACTGCTTTGTCGTTTGTTTTTGTCCACATGCTTTCTCCAGTACACACACAGGCACACACACACACACACACACATTTGCACATTCCAGTGATTGTACTCCTCATCAATGCTAATAAAGTCTCACTTAAGAATTGTCACGGCCGTATTTGTCTCACTCTGCTTCCCCTTAGAAATCGCAGAAAGCCCCCCCTCCCCGTGTGCACACACACGCATGCACGCACGCACAGCAAATGACGTCCTCGGTTGGTTTTCGCCCACTAGGAAATTGTCTCACAGACGGCCCGGAAGAAGGAGGAGCTTAAGGAGGTGCAGGGCTTAGCCAATCAGCTCTCAGAGGCTGGAGCCGCCAGTCTAGTGGAGCCCCGGCAGCTCCAGCTCAACACACGCTGGGCCGAGGTGGAGGGCAAGCTCAAACCCTTTCAAAGGCAATGTGTGAGTTCCAGTAGGCACCACTTCTCCTCTATGCTAACAGACGACTTTTAAGCTCCGCAATAACACAAATTTTGAACCGCACCGCGTGACTCACTAATTATTACTAACATTTGCCCATCTGGGTGGTCAAACAGGTGCTATTCTAAAGTCCTGGCCCCGAAATGTTGGCGTGCGGATATTGATAACAACAAACTATCGTATTCAAAGTAAACAAACATGAGGTGCTGTCAGTAGAATCTAGTTGTAATAACACCTGTTTAAAAAAAAAAACACAGAATACAATATGTACAAAGTATAGAATCCTTCTCCCTCCAAAATCATCACATTTTCAGGAGACCCTAAAAATGAGGACCGAATCTACCAAAAGAAAAAGTTGTTCTACCTTTTTCTGTTCTTTAGTAATGAGCAGTACATCCTGGGCTAGTTTCACCAAAAAACGCCAGTTTCTCACCAAAAACCAAGAGAAAACAAGCTTTTTGTGAACATAAACATGTCAAGCAGAACAGGGACTTTGACGCTCATGTCATTTTGCATTTGTGACACCTCAAACTATAATACAGCAAAAACAAGACTCAGAAACGGCATAGCTTGAATTGAACCTGACTGGCTTTTTCACCTGGTGTTCGTCATTCGCGTCATGAGCTGTGTCATCTTTTCTCCAGAATGTGACACACACTTTCTACTACCTACCGTGATGCATCGTCTTTTTATACCATACCTACACATGCTCTATTTGAGTGCAAGATGCCTAGACTTGTCCAACACGTTGGCATTTTTCTCCTTTTAATCGACGTGACAAACCGAGATTCACCGCCCGATCTTTACCGTCTACTCAAAAGCTGTGCTGATCTCAAATCCAAAGCAATACAACACCGCCATCTACAGGGTTCTATATGGTATTACAGTGTTTTATACACCCTAATTTGACAGACAATCTGGTTTAGGCCGTCGTCCATGTGCAACCTGTCGAAAATCGTACTACGATGCGCCGGTGAAAGTAAGTGGTTGGATTGCAGTTGCAGAAAAGATGAACATCCACAGCAGCAAACAAGTTACCCGAGCCTCTATGCTAATTTTAAAGCTTATGGATCTGAATGGCTGAATTTTAATCACAGTTCCTGTTTTTAGTTTCTCCACCATGTGTTCGGTGTTACTTGAAAGAAAAGTCACGTCCAAATCTCATTGGTTTCTCCGTCTGCTTCTGTGTCACCGCATGCCAACCAATGACATGATGCAGTCTGCCGATGTGCCAATCACTGACAATGTATGTATGCCTCCATCTAATCATCAGCACCCACCAGCATCCACTTATGGTGATGAGCTTGGACAAAATGCGCATCTCATTTTGTTTGAAGTGAGAGCTCAGACGGCCGCGTCGAGTGTTCTCAGATTAAACGTACGTTGCGAAGGCGGACGCTGCAACGTGTTTCTGAAGAACACCTCGTTGGTCAGCGAGACGTGTGCCGTTTGTTCCCCTGCGCTGTTTCGCTTTTATTCCAGCTTCTGTCGGGAATACACACGCAGATGTGAATTTTGTCCAAGTCGGCGTCGTCATGGTGAAAGTGTTTTTGTCATACACTTGTGACCCGAGACAACCAATGCACTCGTCGCACCTGGGGGGGGGGGGGGATACGAGAGCCCCATTAGTTCTTGCCGCCAACATGAACTACACTCATGCTCAAATGGTTGACATGAGGACAAGAAACACTTCTGAGTCGTATGATGCAGGCTCTCTCAACTTCGTTCACGATTGAGTCGTCGGTGAATGCTGAGAGGTGGGCATGTTTGGATGGGAAGTGCGAACGGATTGGATTCACTTGGCTTCGTATTAACCGGCGCTATGTTAATTTGGTCAGCAACTCTCAGCATTCACTACTTTTTAGTCACGAAAGTCGTAAACAGTCACACTTTCCTGTCGATATAGCAATTCCGAAAAGTCTCTTAACTGCATGCAAAAATATGGATTCCAGATTTTTTTTCGTTTGTGACTTGGCTCTGGTTTTGTGAATATAGTGCATGCTCATTTCGGTGTGTGTTTGTGTGTCCGCGCGCGCGTGCGCAGGATTACCTGGCGGAGCTGCAGGCGCTGCTAAATTCCGTGGCGGAGGCGGACTTCAAACTGAGCTCCCCGGAATACTGGCCCGCGGCTTATTACGACCTCCCTCAACAGGAGCGCTGCCTGAAGGTCAGTGCCACTTGCCGTGTTCGAGTCGCAAAAACACCCCAACTGAACCAAACGCGCAAAGCCTCGTTTCAAAAAGGGAGATTGTGACCTCCAGTCATCTGCACACAGGAAGTCAGAGCAATCATTGACAAACTGCGTGCTCCGGTGGAGGCGGCGCTGTCTCGCAGACAGGAAGTGGCGGCCACCGCCCGACCTCTGGAGGGCCAGCGGATCCACCAAAGCGCCACCCAACTTGGAACCAACTGGGACAAACTGAACAAGCTGCACAAAGAGCGGCTCACGTAAGTGAGAAGAAAAACGTTGAAGGAGATGATGACGTGGCGGTTGGAAGAAAACTGAACGCCGGGTGTGTTTGCGTGTGCACTTTAAGGCTCTGGCAGGACTGCAACACCAATTGGCACAAGTTTGTAGCAGACCAGAGGGCGCTCGAGGAATGGCTTCATGAAGCTGAGGGTGCCCTCAAGCTAGCCGAGAGCGAGCCGGCAGCACCAAGGCAGCACCTCAGGGTATCGCACACGCCCCCCCGCCCCCCAAAAAAAAATAGCTTTATTTGATGTAGAATATATAACGCTTGAAACTCTCGCTCCGTATTGTTACCGTGCATAAACTGCAACATAGGAAGAAGGCAGCTAGAGAGTTAGCAAGCCGAGGTTTCTGAAAGACACTCGGCCCAAGATGACCAAGATAGCTGATGTCAGCGATCAAAAGAAATGTGTCCAGTCCAATTTGCAGGTATCTGTGATCAGCCCTCACACTCCTCACGCGCAGACAGCCATGCGGAGGAGACCATCTGCGAGTTGATACCCAATCTGCCCCTCCAACCTCTTTGAATGCACGGCCTGCATATTTAATTCAAAACTCTCCACACATCTTTTGTCAACTATCTGAAGCAGCAACAATGTTCGGTGTGAGGCTAAACACACTCTTGATTTAGTTCTAGTGTCCAATTTCGGGCCTGATTTACTACAAGTATATGCCACCCGTTTCATTTGGCACATTGTCGGAGAAGTAAATGCAAATCCAATTTGAATGTGGCACACGCCGTGCGATTTATCAAACCTGGCTTTGATAAATTGCCCCGGCTGATTTGGCATGTGAAAGGCAGGTGCTCGCCGTCCCCGCTGTTTGACTGCGGTCACGTCGGAGAGGAATAGACGCAGGAAAAAAAATGAGAGGTGACGCGGTTAGTCAAGTACAACTTTATTGTCAAATGCGCACAACATACAGCACAGATGAAATTTCTTCCCTCTCAGAGAGGAATAGACGCAGGAAAAAAAAATGAGAGGTGACGCAGTTAGTCAAGTACAACTTTATTGTCAAATGCGCTCAACATGTTGCACAGATGAAATTTCTTCCCTCTCAACCAGACAACAAGAGGAGCCGCTGCGGGCACCCGTGCCGCCAACAAAAGCACAGTTAACATCAAATGACAAAATAATACAACGCAACACAAAACACACAGACAATCGTGCAATCTGAACCACTTTTCCTGCAGACACTTGATTGTTTGAAACAGTGAGAGATGAAAGAGGAGCGAATCAAAGGGTCCGTTCCACCAGCGGATCAAAGAAGTCATGCTGAAAATGTGCACACGTCTGCTACAGGCTAAGTTTGAAAGCAAACAAGAAGCTGTAGCGAAAAAGAGATTGGCTCACATCTGCTGTCCCATGTAAATCCGCTTCAATTCCGAGCTGCGACTCCCACTTCCACAAACGCATCGGCGCTCTGCGCTCCTTTAACGTAACATAACATGTCTTTTACGCTCATGTAAATATTTTTAAAATGCCAGGGACAAAATCCAGCACAATATATCATCTATTCAGCAATGCAATTTGGGAGCTATTAAATAATCGAAGAAGGAGTCATGTCACATCGGCGACGGCACAACTCCATTCAACCCTGCATTCGGTGCGTTTGGGTCATTTCGGCGCCCTGTGAGAGTAGGTGCTGGCCTCCTCCCAGTTTTAACACCACATTATGCAGGGCTTGCAGATATATCGAATTCCCACTTACTTGGGATCAGTTAAACAAAGCATCATACGTTTTTTTTTTAATGCTGTCTTTCCCAGAATTATTGGAGCGATAGATATCTTTTCTGTAACTCAGTAGAAGCATCATAAGTTTTTTTTTAATGCTGTCTTTCCCAGAATATTGGAGCGATAGATATCTTTTCTGTAACTCAGTAACATGTTTGCTCGCCTCTGCCGCTAACACGTCCAATTCATTCACTTCAAACTTCATTTTGTACTCGCGGTGCTCTCCCGAACATTCCATGGTGAAAACCGTCGTCTTTTTTTCGCGAACGCGCAATTTAATGCCTCAGTAAATCAGGCGCTCATTTTGCACTCGCGGTGCTCTCCCGAAATATTCCATGGTGAAAATCATCGTATTTTTTTCATCGGCGAGTGTGCGAACGCGCAATTTAATGCCTCAGTAAATCAGGCGCTTCGTGAGCAAGGAGTAGAAAATTCAAAAGTCTTTATTGGGTGTGCGTGTGCGCTTTTGCAGGACCTGACAGAAGCGATACCGCTGCAAGAAGCGGCGTTGAACAGAGTGACCTCTGCAGGCGAGGACATCAGCCGGATGAGTACGCCGGATGATGTCTCCCGCCTCCGAGCGCAACTCAAATTCCTCACTGCTCGCTGGGCGCATGTCTGCGAGCAGCTCAATGAGCGCCAGAGAAGGTGCGTGTGGTGTTTGTATTTTTATTTATTTATTCTGGGGGCGATACACAAAAAGGCGGTCGGGATTTGATTCCATTGCCACCGTCAACATGCACTCTTCTGCTGCACTGCCATTCGCGTTCATGTTTCAAGTCCGACTTACCTTCCTGCACGCTATTCGTCGACCCTCATCGGTTGACTTTTGAGTCCCTGTTCATGCAATCATTGGGTGATTTATAGTCCATGTCAATCATTTTATCAGCACTACTGATTGAGACGGGGCGATAGAAAGCGGAAAAGGAGAAGTTGGGCGACCAGCGGGAGGGACGAGAGAACGATTGGCACGACGACAGCCAGTGTCATCGACAGTCATATTTTATAAGCCCATCATGACAGCGACGTCCTGTCCCGCAGATCGGCCGAAGCGCGCACGACAGCGGCACATCTGCAGGAGACGGTGGGTTCCATGATGGGTTGGCTCAACAAGGTGGAGGGGCTTCTGGGAATCCCTCTGCAGCCTGCTGAGCCTCAACACATCAGAGACACGCTGGGCCAAGTGCAGGTACTCTCGACAAACACAGTCACAGGTCACCACTGCGTGTGTGTGTGTGTGTGTGTGTGTGTGTGTGTGTGTGTGTGTGTGGAAAGCCTTTTGAGCATTTATTGTCTTGAATATCCATATTAAGACGCAGTATGTTCTTTGTCTTCAACTAGTCTGGCAAATTTGGCATACTAGTAGGACAACCACATGTGACTAGTGAGACAACGGTGCACAATTTGACTAATGCAGGCTACTTGTATACTGGTGACATTATAAAAATCGACTAGTTAACATCTAGACCTTGATGAATACCAGTAGCTCTGTACACCAGTGGTCCTCAACCTTTTTTGCCCCACGGATCGGTTTAATGTCAGACAATATTTTCTGGGACCGGCCTTTAAGGCCAGATAAATACAACAAAATATGTTATGGCCTGCATGAAAAGTGTGGTATTTTCGTAACATCATAATAAACACAAATCATCCTATCCTATCGGGCTGCAACACTCTCTGGTCGCTATGGTAATGTTTAAATGTGCCTTCAAAATAAGATAAAACGCAAATACAAAGTGCATGAAAAAAATACGACTCACCATCACCGTCTATTATACAGCGTGGGCTTGGTGCGTGGGAATCTCCCGTTGAGATAAAGCCGTATTGTAAGTCAGACTCCTGATACTGTCTATTAAATGTCACCTTCTTTTTCTTGGAAGTCGTCAGCTCCTCTTCAGTCTCCTGGTTGGGCCTTTTCCCCTTCCCAAAGACACTTTCCAAAGATGGTTGTTTTTTTACTCATTTTGCGAGCCCCTCGGTTTCATTTTAGCGGTAACCGATCACTTGACCGAGAAGCGCGCCTTCACCTGCATCAAGAGTGACATACTGTAGGCGGATGTAACAGAGAATCCGGTATTTTTTCAAAATAAAATATCATTCAAGTTCCGAAATGTATAAAATGGAAGTAATGTAAATTATTTTGCTATGAAGCTGCGTCGCGTCAAGACAACTCTAAATCGGCGACGAGACACTATAAGTCAGCGCAAAATCGGGCTACATTCGTGTCATCTAACGTCACCGTTAATGTTACAAGTAAGATGGAGTCATTCTAGTAGCACACTCGACTGTTTTACCGGTAAGGACAAAGTCTGTACTATTACACGAATCTTAAATTGCATATCAAGGACATTGAACAACGCCTTAAAGGGCTTTCGATACATACTTTGTGAGTGTATACATGTACATGTCATCATCATCATCATCATCATCCCAAAATTTGCTGCCTTCCATTGTTTCAAGAAAAAGTATTCTACTTTTGCACGAACATTAATGCACGCGGGCGCGTATTCTTTAATTTGTCAGGCTTGTGTGGAGGAACTTCCGCGCAAGAAAGCAGCGGTGGTGGAGCTGAACATGCGACAGATTCCCGCCGACAAACAAAAAGACATCCGGATCATCAACACTCGCTGGGAACAGGTTTGCATGCGGCACAATCAGAATTCTATGGCCAACAAATCAATGATCCGGCACTCCGTGGCTTCTGTATTCCGTATTTTCCGCACTAAAAGGCGCACCTAAAAGCCTTCCATTTTCTTAAAAGCTCACAGCGCGCCTTAAAATCCGATGCGCCTTGTGTATGGTCATTACGGTAAGATGCCGACCCCAAAATGGCTCCTTGCTAGAGACATGCTTACAACACAGAGTTGAAACTTAAGGCGATCGGTTTTGCAGTTGAACACGGAAATCGAGCAGCGGCAAGAGAGTTCATCGTTAACGAGTCAATGTTGTAACTTGCTGTTGGTTAAGTGAACGGTGTCGCTGCTTTATTAAGGAAGTTTTACTGACATCTGATCGTCACTATATGAATCAGGGTGTAGTGTTCTGTTTGCATTTCCTTGAGCGTAGCGGGATCGTCACTATATGAATCAGGGTGTAGTGTAGTGTTCTGTTTGCATTTCCTTGAGCGTAGCGCCATCTCGTGGATGCATTGTAGATTGTGTCTTATAATGCGGTACGTCCAATATATGACAACAATTACAAACAGGCCATTCATTGAAGGTGCGCCTCATAATCCGCTGCGCCTTTTAGTGTGGAAAATACGGTACTGTGACTGAAAGGATTTTTTAAAAGATTAGATAAGAAGATAAGAAGCCCTTTATTCGTCTCACAACGGAGAAATTCCCAATTCGCAGCAGCAAAGTTATGAAAGGAAGAAGTAGAAGAACAAAATATAGGAACTGCTGTAAAGGCAGCCACTCTCGCGGCGCCATCTTGGAGTCAAATTAACAAAATAATACGACACATGTTCAATTTGAAAGTGAGCTCGTCATCTTGGCCGACAGAACGAAATGCGATTCCCCTTATCACAAGATAGAGCAGCACTCAAACAATTTTGACGTTTGAACGTTGTGGTCATGCAGTGGAGCGATAACTTTCCATGCACCGCTTTGTCCTTCTTTAGGTGTCCAAGGCTCTGCCTGAACGACAGCTGGAGATTGAGAATCTGCTGAAGGAACTGGATGGGCTTCAGGTTCAGTTGGACTATCTGTCCAGCTGGGTGTTCAGAACCAGAACACATCTGGAGCGCAATCCAGAGGAACACCCGCCTGGCGTACGACACACACACACACACACACACACACACACACACACACACACACACACACACACACACAAAATGAAATCGATGTTGGAAGACGGTCAATGCACACACTCTCTTACTTGAATCGTTTTGGACCCTTATCTATGCCAGATGCGCATTCATGACAGTGAAAGCCCTCTCACTGATGCAGCACAAATACATTGCACAATATAATGAAATTATCCCCTTTAAAAAAAAATCTGAATTGCTATTTTGCACAGATGAAAAACAAAAACTTGACAAAAGAGAAGTTGCTACGGCAGTGACGTGACTGTGCAGTTAATTGGCGATACGCACCTTCCTTAGTCAGCTTCATTGTCCCAGTCTTTTTAGGACTCCACCTCACTATTATATCAGGAGAACGCCTCTTTCAGTTTGCTCTAGTACACCACTGTACATTGCATTTTGCAGTGATCCAGGTGAACCAGAGGCAGAATTCGGAACTACAGCAGAGATCTACGCATATCGGGTGGAGCAAGAGTACGGCATCGAGACGGTCAAAGTGAAAGCCGTGGGCAGGCAGAGATTCAAAGTCCACGAGATAAGAACTCAAGCAGATGGGTATGTTGGAATGGTCTCATAAATCACGAACCAAACTTTATATCTGTTAGTTCATAGATTATTTTTAGATTTTTTTTTTTTTTAATGATTTATAGACCTTGTGTGTGCTTCTTTTACAAACTTTGGATGCTCGTCTTTGGTGAGTGTTGAAGTGATTTCATGATGCAATGTGATCTGTAACCTTGTGTGGCGCCAGATGAAATGCTAACGGGGAGCGCCCAGGCCGATTCTGCCGCTTTGGCACAGTTCAACAAGTCATGGGCGGAGCTCACCGACTGGCTGACCATGCTGGACAACATGGTGCAGAACAAGCGCGTCGTCGTGGCGGACCTGGATGACATCAATGAAAATATTGGCCAGCTCAAGGTCACCACATCACAGTTCCTATTAATCAGTCCCTGCACATCATTCCAACCAGCCACTACCATGGCGTTTTAAAAATTACATTCACGGGGACTAAATATGGACCACCCCTGGTGTCAAGGTATGAAAAAAACAATAGTGATAATCTGTCGCCTCATTTTGGTCATCTGTCCACTCAGTTGACCCTCTCTTCTAGATATGATAAAACGGAGGGTAGCAATTACAAAACTGAGGGTACCGATTAGTAAATTGCTGCTTCAGATGACTAAACCGGGGGTACATATTGTCAACAAATATCCTTTTTCTCATACCTGGCACCAGGTGTCCTCTGTATTGACACGCAGAAATACCTAAAAGGTTGCTTGTGATGGGTCCAGGCATCCTTGCAGGAGCTAGAACACCGACGCCCTCTGCTGGAGAGACAAGTCACTGCAGCCCAGAATCTCAAGAACAAAACCGGCAACCAGGAGACACGAAACGCCATCACCGAGCGCAGTAAGACGCATTCCCAATTGGTCAGAGATGGCTAAAGTGCTCACGCTGTACTTCAATAGACAGTCAGTTACTTGGGTAAAACAAATTCAGCATGGCATGAACCTATTTCGCCCACTATACTGGATACGAATATCATCCTTATCGTTTTTACTGAAACAACACACATTAGTAGACTTAACTTTTTGCGGGATCATTTTAAATGTGAATTTTCTCATTTATCTGAAGAAACTCTTCGGTAACCGATGAATACGTTCTGAATTTGCTAATATGTGACTTTTTGTTTGGTAGTTGACCGGCTTCAGACACACTGGGAGGACTCGCTGCTTAAACTCTCAGCCAGAATCAAGCAGCTTCACAACATGCTGCAGGACTCCACGGAGTGGTTAAATTCCAAACAGAGGGTGGACGCTCTGATCAAGCGGGCCATCGAGAGGCTGGAGTCCTGGCAAGAGGTCACCTACACGGTGGATGCTGTTGCAAGACAGAATGCTGAACTCAAGGTGTGCTCCAGATCACGTTTGATCACTCATACTTTTGCCAGCTAATTCCTTCCCCAATTCGTGATTCGCTGTTGTTGTTGCGCCTTTTCTCCCCTTCAGTGCTTCGCAAACGACCTACGACAGTGGCAGGGTCAAGTGGATGAAACCAACGTGTTGGCCGACAAACTGCTGACACGTTACGCCAACGACGACACACACAAAGTGACCCAAATTCATGGCAACATTGTGGCCACCTGGACACACATCAGCAAGCGGTGCGTGCACATTTTCCGTACGCTGCAGTTATGCCCACGAGGCAAATAGTGGCAAATGCCAAAGCCACTTTAACACCCACGTTCAAACCAGTTCGAACTATTAACTGTGAAAATGGAAAAGCTAGCATATTTCCATGTAAAGCAATTCCCAGTTAATATTACTAGAAATGAGATGACCAAATAAGCCACCCGCCCGCCGCAGACATTTCGCACCACATCCTGATAAACTGAGCGTTTGCCTCCCAGCGGCCAGTAGCCTCAACAAGTAAAAAAAACAGTTTCATATTGAAGCAGAGGTGGGTAAAGTCACCAAAAACTATACTCAAATAAGACTACTGGTACTTTTGAATCATTAGGAGTTAAGGAAAAGTAAAAAGTAGTCATCCAAATAATCACTCGAGTAAAAGTAAATAAGTATTCAGTGAACTCAAGTACTGAGGAGCTGATGGGTGAGTCACTTTGGATGTTTTTTTTTTGTTCATCAAAGAAAAATCGTGCCCGAGCAGGAAGTCTCGCACACCCCCCCCCC